CCAGATTTTTTGCATAACCTTTTGCACAGCATGTGCTTCATTTCATTCCATGATCTGCAGTCATGTGCTTCATTTCATTCCATGATCTGCATTTTTACATCTTACATTGTAAATCCTTCATTTGATTCGTAAAAGTCACTTGTTCTTCTTTGCAGGTATGGGATACCAGGCAACGCTCTTGTTGCAATTCTTTTAATGTCCATGATGACTACGTTTCGGATATGACTTTTGCATCTGATTCCATGAAACTGCTATCAACAAGGTATTTAAGACTGTTATAACTTGTTTTTATCTCTCTTTGAATACTGTAAATGTGTCTCCATTATTGTTATTTTGCATTAGGAGGTTGAGAGGATTGAGGCATTGTTATGAATAACATATGGAGCTATGAGGAGCTTTATGATTCTTTTCATATATACTATATTGATGTGAGAAGTTCTTACAGGAACCATGTATTGTTGTTGGGGGTTGTAAGTCAAATAAATTATGCTTTATGCTTGCCTGGTTGCTCTTTCACTTCCTTCCAGTTCTTTATCTAAAAGATTGGTTGATTCACATCAGCATATGGTTTCTTGTTACAAGACTAGAGCATCTCACAGGATTTTGTAATTTTTGGTTTCACATTGTTTGCATTTTCTTTGCTAATACTTTATTATTTCTGTCTTATGTATTCTTTAGTGGAGATGGGACCCTTTCTGTTTGCAACCTTCGCACTAATAAAGTAAGTTGGTTCTTTCAGAGAAAAGAAAAAGTGCCTTTGGGGAAATTCTGCAGAACCATGCAATTTGATTAATTTGTTTTAAATTTATGTCAGATCCAATCCCAGTCTGAATTTTCTGAAGAAGAGCTATTGTCTGTTGTTATTATGAAGGTAAACAATTACATGGTATTTAGATTGTTTTTGTGGCTGTGGCTGCATATGGTTGTCTACTTGTCTTTCTGTGAGCATATTAGCAAATTGATTTGGCTAATGTATAGCTTATTTTTGGCATGAGATTGGAATGGGGATAGACTGCTTAAACCCCTCCCTATTCCAATGGAGCACTCGTCTGTTGGAGGTGGGGATTCTAAGAAACAAAGCTTAATTAGATTGTGTTCTTGTTATCTCCCACCCCATATCTTCCTCTTTAGCAGCGTAATGAACTTTCAGGATTTAACAAATAAATGAGTTTCAAAAGGAAATACTTGAAAGCTATTTCTCACAATATATTTGTGCTAAATTCCTGTTTTATTTTGTACCTTTTTGTTGTCAGAATGGACGGAAAGTTATATGTGGTTCACAGAATGGAACACTGCTATTGTATTCATGGGGTTTTTTCAAGGATTGCAGGTATCCTTTTCAAAACATATGAATACTTGAAAGTTTTAGGATTCAGTGCAAGTATCCTTTCATGAATGGAGAGTTTCAATTGAATTTTATCTTTACTCAATATTTATTTCTTGCATGGTGAAGTGTCCTGAATATTTATTTTGATTTTCAGTGACCGCTTTACTGCTCTTTCCCCAAACTCGATTGACACTTTGTTGAAGGTGATTGAATTTTGATTTTTATTGTTGTTGCATCAGATGGCTTTTTAATCCAGGAGTTTGCTTAATTGGAACATTTAAATCTTTTATTTCAGTTTGATGAAGACAGAGTCATTACTGGATCCGAGAATGGGCTCATAAGGTGAGTTGTATAAGATAGGAAGGGACTCATCCAAATTTTGAATCACGATCACCATTCTTTTTCTTTTTCATTCCTCACTTCTTGGTTTTAACTTTTCTTTTCCTCCTCACTTTTTGCAGTCTGCTAGGCATATTACCCAACAGAGTCATCCAACCGCTTGCTGAACATTCAGAGTACCCTATTGAGTGTCTTGGTACTGTTCATATCTCCTCCTCTATAGAAGCTTTATATTAATTTTATTTACTTTGTAATTGATGGAAGTTGCAAATTCGATTGACATGCCATGGTGACTTTGCAACACTGGCTCTAGTTCCACCTCCATCTCTGTTCAATTGTGAACTGGTCTCTATGTTAATGTAGAGTTTTTGTTAGGTGAGGCTGACTTGTGGGAACCTTATTTGAAGTGTTTTTAAATGGACAAATCACTACATATAGGATCCACTCTTTTAAGTTAAAAAAAGCTGTGCATTGATCCTATACAACAGTAAACTTCCAGCTTAGCTTCTATGCTTCCATTTCACATAACCTAATCCATGGAGATCTACTTTTTTTCAATTCCTCTCTTTGCCTCTCATGCTAATCAAAGTTTATTTTCATTAATGACATTGTATGCTGTTGATTATTATACTCATAAAACAAATCGCTGAAAGTGTGAAATTAACAATCCTAATTCTTATCTTTCTAGAGTACCATATAATCCAACAAGAATTTTGTTTTGAAATCCCTTTAACTACCCTTTGTTTAATCTTAAACAAACTCTCTCAGTACCTTTTCAAAACCCCGGGGTAGTTAAAAGTGATTGTAGTGAATTGTTGTTTATGCACACACTGTTTGCTTCGTAGGTAGAATTGTTTCATCACTTAAGAGTTACACACTGTAAAAGTGGAAGGCTTATTGCTTTGTGGTCTCAATAAAGGATTTTCTAATATAAAAGGAGTGGATCCCACATAAATTGATTTGCTTACAACACTTGGGTTAACTAAGGTGGTCGGGTCTGGCTCACTTGATAAACTAATAAATATATTGTCTCACTAAAGTTTGAGGTTCATTTAAGAGTCACTAGTGCCACCTTCTCCAGTTTGAGTATTAATTGTCTAGAGAGCTGGATTTGTGTTTTTAGATAGCCAAAACAAGCTTTCTGAGAGTATGATTTTGTTTGGAATCTGCAGCCTTTTCTCATGACAGAAAGTATCTTGGCAGCATTTCACATGATCAAGTGTTGAAGGTGGATCTCTCTCTCTCTCTCCATCTTTCTTTGCATACAAATATAAACAAACATGTCTTTAAACAGATGCATGCGGAATTGCACATCTGCACCCCTATGCACAATTTCTGTATGTACCATCCTTGCTGCCTTTATCGTAATGTCCTGACTCAACTACTTGTTTAATTCAGATGTGGGATTTGGATGATTTATTGCAAAATTCTGGAAACGCGCAAAATGATCAAGCTCCTGTATCAGACAGTGATAGTGATGCAATGGATATGGATACTAAACCTCCAAAGTCTAGAAAAGGTAAACTGGATTTAATAGGAGAATCATGAACATATCTTCTTTCATCAGAGGCTTGGACGTGAATAGCTAATTTTTAAGCTATTATCGGCAAACTTTGATAGTTAACATAGTGTCATGACTATTGGTTGATTACTCCTTTGCGGATATAAAAATGTACAGAACCTATTTTAGTGGCCTTTATGAGAGTGCTAACAACAATATATATCTTTATTTAATTATCCTGTAATTAGAATTGACGTGTGAAATATAGGTCTCCTCCTTTAAGCACTGAATTCAATCCTTAACAGTTGCATGAATCATGGACACCTGAAAATTTAAGTTATGACATTTTATCTCAAACTTCTTTCTTCTTCTTTTTTTTTGGTGATATCTTTCTTCTTCTTCTTCTTTTTTTTTTTTGGTGATATCACAAAGTTGTTTGCATGATCTGTGTTTTCATTTGCCTTGAATCCCAACTTTGTTTGTGCCTTTATTGCAGTTCCAAACAGGGTTTCATAAAAATTCAATGTTTTTTTTAGCTTAAAGTTAATATTATTTTTTTCATGTTTTTGGATAATTTTGATGTGTTCATGTTAAAAATAATTTTTAACAAACAAAAAAAATATTATTTTGATGCATTTTCGAGTGGAAAGAATTTTGAAAAGCAACCACTACCACATTTTTAAACACTCTTCTTGGTCTGCGACCAGTGAATCTGTTGATAAAATGTATGCTATATGCATCCCTCTTACAAGTGTGGTGTCTTTAGAATCTGATGTATTTGCTATTAATTGTCCTATTTTTTGCAGGAGCCAAGAGAAAAAATGAGCACGCAAATGATGCAACAAGCAGCTTTTTTGCAGATCTATAGTTGGATGGTGGTATTTCTTCATGCACATTTGCGGTTGATGTCATTTTTGACATTTCTGTGTTGATATATTATTTTCTTCATCCATGGTGGTCTGGACGAGTTAGCATGGTTTCACCAGAGATGGAGCAGGGATAATAATTACTTTCTGCAAAGCATGGTTTCACCAGAGATGGAGCAGGGATAATAATTACTTTGCAGATGCAATGTAGATTTGAGTTTGATACATGTTTATTATTTCTCCCTCCTAAAGCATAGGGGGCTTGCAAGTTTTGCTTGAGATGATTCTTTTGTATACCCGTTGGTACAATTTATAAATTTATAGGCGCAAGCACGCAGTTCATTAATGATGGGATAATAGGAAAAACATTTATCTTTTTATAAATTTATAGGCGCAAGCACGCAGTTCATTAATGATGGGATAATAGGAAAAACATTTATCTTTTTATAAATTTATAGGCGCAAGCACGCAGTTCATTAATGATGGGATAATAGATAAAACATTTATCTTTCCTGAAAAATAGTTCTGACAGTTTACATGTATAAACTTTGCTGCATCTGCTCTGCTTCTAGCTAATTTATCCCTTATTGCTCCTTAGCCGAAGGTTTTCAATTTTACAAGTTGGAGTCAGACCCACTGCCACCCTCATTAGCCGAAACATGACTGGTTTAAAATAATTGCGTAGGAGTCATCTGTTTCGAAACATATTCCTTCCATCTCCTCCTGGGTTAGCGAATTATACATGGAGGGGAGGGGACTAATCGGAGACAGCTGGAATAGTTTGATTGCATGTTTCACGGGATTGTTCTTACTGGAGAGAAGGCAGAGATTTCAATGATAATCCAAGACCAGATTTTATTTTCGTTAGATACTGCTTTCTTTCTCGTGAAACAATATCTTCGTAAATTTAGTTTGATGGAAGTCTTTTATCTCTTTGATCAGAGATCGTCAAAATGGTCATGTCTTGAGCATCAACAATCAATTACTCATAGCTGGCAAAAGCAAGAAACGCAACCTTTCTTGATGGAAGCACTGAACACTTCGGTTGCCAACAAAATCTGGTTTTTATTTGTAAGAAAAGAACTACATCTCTAACTTGTTCTGGATTGTAAGACATGCTCATGCGTTGTTCATTCTTGTCACAAGGAAAACGTCATCCACGGAGGAAAAGAAAGCGACAAAACAAGAGAGGAGAGAACATGAAGAGCTGAAGGGGAAGCTGGATAAGAGAAAGGAAGGAGGACCTGCTAGTTCTAGTCCCGAATCAGCTCGGATCAAGTCCCGAAACCGAATTGACCGGCCAGCTCGAGTCGGCTCTTGTAAAACTGGCAGTAATAGTCGCATCAAAGATGAGCAATAGTTAGCAGCAATAATAACATTGAAAATAAAATAAATGAAAGAAAAGTATCATCATAAAAGACTTGGAAATCCTGAAGTGCTATCATCACAAGTTAGAGAATAGATGGAGAGGTGATAAAAGGAAAGAAGGAGGCTTAGCTTGATTGACCTCCATGAAAAGCGAAGAGGTGGCATCTGATGACAAAGTGGAGAAAGAAGGGAAAGGGAGGAACTGCTGGAAATCATTGGCATGAGAGGTATTGGTAAGAAATCATCATAAGGAAAAGATCCATTTTCTTGCCAAACACCTCATGCCCACAACTTCCAGCAGGTCTCAGTCTCCCCCTCCGGCTCTTCTCAAGTTCCATCTCTTCTGCTTCAATCAGTAATTCTCCCCCAACCTAACCCTACTCTTGCCACTCCTAATTTATTTGCCTGTTTGTGTCCCTATGTTTTGCTTTTTGGACCCTATACTTTGTAAATTTGCTTACTTTTTTTTATGGGTTCCACTGATTTGATTATTTAATTCTTTTTTATTTTTGTATTTTGAGGAGGGTTGCTGGGGAAAAATTACAAGGGCTCGTAAGGAGACATATTTAACAAAATAAATTAAATGGGAAAACATGAATGAACGAAGACTATCGGTTGACTTCCATTTAAATAAAACAAGGGCTTGTTATCAAAAGAAAAAAAACAAAAAAGAAAAAGGAGAGAGAATACAGCAGGAAGTTAATTATAACTTAGCCCCTATACTTTAATTTTTTTTTGTATTAGTTCGTGGTTTTTGAAGTTGTATATTTAATTCCTATGCTTTTAAGTCTATTTACAACTTAGTCCTTTTATCAATTTTATATTATTTTTCAATTTATTCCGGGAAAAGAATCACAAGAAGACGAGGAGTAGATAATACATGAAAATTTGATGAGAAAAGATGAAGATGCATTTTTGGTGACAATTAAGGATGGGCAAAGGAGTGTTTTATTATTTTTATAATCGCAAAGGTAAATTAATTAATCTTGAGAGTTAATTATAACTTAGTCCCTATAGTTCATCAAACTGGATTAATTATATGCTATCCAAAATAATTAAATAGCTCTTTTACCAAAGTTAATTGTGTTTAATTTGGTAATATTTTGTTATAGAAAGTTTCACCAATCTTTCCATTCTATCTACTTTTTCTTTTTCTATTTTCTTAAAATAAAAAATCAAAATAAATTAGACACAGTAAAAATGAAATATTAAACCAAATATATATCTCAATCACATCAACTATAATAAAAAGTGATTTTTTAAAATTTTATTTTTTAAATCTCAACCCCAAAAGCTGACACAGTAACAAACATACACAAAGAAAACGATGCAGAGGGGCCGGAGTTGAAATGTTCCAAGAATAGTCTATAGCGTGGGAAACAAGCTTGACCAGTCTTCTGCCCCAAACAATCTCCGAAGGAACGAGCTGCTTTCACATTTCCTTGACTTTACATGGATTCTGTCTAGTAAGGTTCGCTGATAGGCATCCCATTTTCGAGTCTGTGTGTATAAATTCCACAGAGGCTGACGCTATAAATGACAATGATGTGAAGGGCAATCGGCCTGTGATGAGATCAAAGGTTCCTAAGCTTGTAAATCCAGTTTGGACTCGCACCTCGTTAAACAGGTCATAAGCTTTAGGGCTATGGCCCCAACTTTCGACTGGACTTAACTTCCTGGTAGTGTAACTTGGTTGAATATGCTCAGTTACTAGAAAAATCGACGATTAAAAACATGCTATGTTTTAAGTTGAATAAATTTTGATATTGATAAGATTAAATACCGTTCACTTGGTTAGATTGACTCGCAATCTAATTTAGTCGGGTTTATATCACAATATTAAAAATAAAAAAATAAAAAATAGTATTTTAAATAAAAATATCAAAATCAAAATTTATCTATAATTCAATAACCCGAGGTTTTTTTTCTTTTCAATTCGGTACCTTGATCATTGTATATGATAACTATGCTTCGCCTATAATCTTAAATATGCGAAGCAGGCCCAGCAACCAGATTGTTAGTTTTTTTTTTAAAAAAAGAAAATAGGACAGTAAATATAAAATTCACATTGTTGTGTCCTAACAATTAAATGTTTATTGTATAGATATCTACTCTTAATGCTATAATAGAGAATGAGATTATTTAAATAGGCTAGACAGCTATAGAAACTAGATCCAATTATATTATTAATTAAATTAAATTATTAAGTAAACGATCTCAGTAGTAATAGATAGATAATTTATGTTTCTATATTTGGAAATCACTTTAATAATAGATAAGACAAATTATTTCCTATTCATTTAAAATATAAATGTGTTTTTTTTACGCATTCTTGGGATTACTTATAATTATGTAATGTAAAAATTTATTAAGTTTAGTTTGAATGTATTGATTAGGGTTATTATGGTTTTTTATATTTTTTTAAGCAGGGTAAAATTTTAGATATAATTTATATATAGAAAAAACTCTAACTCTTTAAAATCATAAAATAAAATAAATTTTAGATTAATAAAAACTATGATTTTATGAACTTTTTCAAACTTAAAACACAAAACTTTCTCAAAATTAAACAATAACCAAAATGATTCGACCATTTCTTAAAATGATTAGACTATTTTTGTGTGTTGGTCGGATTATTTTAGTTATTATCCAACTGTTTTTCTGAAATATTTAGTTATTTCTTAAAACAGTTTACTAATAAATATTATGGTTTAGTTTTAGTTGTTTCTTAAAATAATTTAAATATTATGGTTTAGAATCATAATATTTTATTATAATTTTAATAAATTTCACAACAGCAACATTTAAGTAAATATCACGGCTCTGAAATATAATATTATTTAAATATCAATTATGACACCCTTAAATTGTATTATTTAACTAAAACATTTTTATTTTAAATTATTTCATCATTTAATTTTTTCTGTGCTAATTACACAATTTATCCCAGATTATTCACCTAAACAAATAATTAACGGACCTGAAGCCATAAGGACAGAAACTCAAAATCTCAAAATACACATTATGGCATGGTATTGGGCTAGTTGTGGTGGGCGATTTCCACGATTCAGAGTAGATAGCTAGGATTAGGCAGAGTGCAAATCCTAAAAAACTTTGAACACAATTCTTGCATATAAAAGAACATAAAAGAGATCTACTAGCGTCTAGCAGACCATTAAACATAGTTGTGAGGAGAAAAGTCAGCTGTTTAACAGTACTTAACAATCCACACAAAGGATACCAATCCATTTATTTCATATAATTATAGATAAAGATGATTGCCACTTGCTGCTGGCTGCTAGCTTTATTTCTGCATTGATTTCCATCAATTTGCGCTCTGCAAAAAATAAGAAAAATAAGTGTGTTAAGATATCAAGAATTATTTTCTGACTAATAAAATATTTAACAATTCTCTCCCTAACCATTTCACCCACACTCATATAATACTTAAAGACCAATAGTTTGGATTGTTTCATTATTTTTACTAAATTCATTTTATATCACAATTACTCAATCCAAATAAATGTATTTTGATTAACTGTTTATAAATTCTTTATCAAATAAAATTTCAATGAAAAAAACAACATTAATTATAATTGAAAAAATATTTCAGAAAATTGTGTATATATATATGATGTCCTCTCTATATAATGTATATATTCATTTGAAACTCTTAAGGTACTTGACTTTTAAATAGAAATAAGTATCACAAATTATATCACTTGCTTCAATTTTTATATTTTTTTTAAAATAAAAATAATTAAGAAATAATAAAAGTGTAGATGAAACATAGTTTAATCTCCATGTTAAAAGAAAATCTTAAACAACTAAAAGGATCTTGAAATGGATTGCATTGATTATTCTTTAAAAGTAAAACAATATCAAGTGGTACTTTAATTATTAAAAAAAATCAATTATTCATGATAATGTATGAAAGCTTGCTACTATTTTATAATATAAGACAGAAAATATAAATGAAATCATGGGACAAATGTTCAACGTTCACCTTCGAAGCAGATCCCGAAGAGAAATCAGAAGAGGGCATCGGTGGCTTGATCATGAGTTCTTGGGGATCCTCATGGTTGTTCTCATCCATCATCACTTCCTAGCAAAGAAAACCATACACACAATCGCTTCATATAGCAGAACATAAACCACAGTACTGTTTGCATAACTTTTAGGGCAAAATAACAATAAAAAAAACTATTCATTGAACTATATCACTCACTCCATTAAGGTCCGGGAAAGGAAATGCAGGCATTTGCATGTCAGGAAGAGATTCCATTTCTTCAGTGCACTTGGTCACTTCATCTTCCTGATTTATACCCAAAATCTTGAAGGTTAGCTAGAATGATTGCCCTTATCCCTTTGTACTTAATTTTGAACGCATGCAATTTCAAATCAATGTATGTGTATTGGAAAGAGCAAGGGAAAAGAGAAGTCACCTTCTTATGATCACAAGGAACGACACGATTCAAGAAATTTAGCATGTCCTCTTGCCTTATGACTCTAGAGATGTCACAACACTGCAATGTTCGACGCTTACAACTAGTGGTTTGAAGCCATGCACGGAGAGTGAGCTCAAGGATGAAGAGCTCACAAGCTTTCGAGAACAAGATAGGAGTTTCTGCGCTTATCATCTAGTAATGACACAGCAAAAACATAAGCAATATAGTGAAGATCTTATATACATATATATAGAAAAATACTAGATGTTGATATCGATGACTTAACTCCTACTTCCCATATCGAATAACTTCAAATATGGTATAATAAAAACTTGAAAATACTTAGGAATTTGAAAGTTTTCGTAACTTTTTTGTTTTTTTTAAATCGCTAGTTACATAATGAAACATAGTGACCATCGACAATACTTTTATACAAAATTGTCATTTTTAAGGATTTTTAAAATGTTCTTACATTGTTTTTTTTATATATTATCCCTCCTCGGGTTGAAATAAGATCCCAGCCATTAAAAAATAAAATAAAATAGAACTCATGCAACACATTGTTTTTTTAACCAAAAGAGAAACGTAGGTAAGTCATCAACTAAGAAATAAAAGATATGCAAACCTTGACATCTCCGTCAGATTTCATAACTCTTTTGATCCTTGCTAAAGGCAACATATTATTGCTCTTGGATGCTGAATATGAAAACGGTGAGACACCATAAATATATATATGAATTAATAAACGAAAATAAATAAATAAATAAATATTTAACATGCATGCACAATAAGCATCTCGAATCACCAAAGAAATTACCAGTAGTACTGTAAATCTCCAACAATTGTTGATTCCAAAATTGATCCAAATTTTGCTTATGTTGCTTCAATGGATACGAAAATAGAGACCGATTAGCATCTAAATATATACACAAAAATGTAAGCTAAACATTGAAATAAAAAAAATACATGGAAAAACCCTCACCAGCTCTTTGGTTGTCTGATGGCAAGGCAACATGGAAGAGTTCATAGGTAGGGCATTTTCAACTTCTTGTGGTGATGGATCTTCTGATGCT